TAGAAGGGTTACCCTCTTTAAAGATGGTTGAAATAAAAAATTAAAAAAATAAATACCCACTCTGACCCAAGACCCCTGTTACGCGCCTGGTGTTAGCGCCAATGTGTGCCCTTGTGCGGACAGGAGATGTGCCCACCTCTGAAGCGGGAAACCTTGTTTTTGCAAAATAAATTGATGCAATTTGCTATTATAGACCTAATCAATAAATTCCTCATCAACCGATATAACCTTAAACATCCTTGGAATTGACATAACATTACTGATTTCGTACACACCCTTCAGTGGGAAATGTGGCTCTCTTTGCAAGCACATCTAACATCTAAGGAAAGAAGAGCTTAGATTGGTACCAGATAAAATAATTTTGTTATCAACATTAATACATTATGCTAATTTTCATCTTTGTAAGCGCATAAGACAGTGCAAATTATTTCTGTGACAGTCTTTTGAAGTGTGTAAAGCGCCATTTTATCCCATACATATTCAAAATATTGGGTGGGGGATGATACAATGGACCATCCCCCCTTGTCAGATATTGGGGGATATATCCCCCCCCCCCCGGGATCTACGCCTATGATTAGAAGACAACAGTGGGTTTGAAATTGAAGCAATTCAAATGATATACACGGAACAATGTTAATTTTTCACTGCTTTTCTTTTAATTAATCTATCACCATAAAATACATGCAAACCTAGATACATCATAATATTAAATAGCCTATGTCCTTTAGTTGCTGGCATATAGACCAATTCAGGGGCGAATCCGGAGATGCCCGAAAGGGGGAGAGACCGGGGCCGAAAAGGGGGAGGCAGCGAAAGTGGGGCCGATCGAGATAACAGCATTTTAGGGGCGGGAAATTTTTGTTTTCTAGACACCCGAAAATAACCTCTGATGCGTTTTCGGCGATCAATTTTTCTTTCTTTTTTTTCACCCCCTAAATCCGCCTCTGCTATTTAAAATCACATTTTAATACGATTGATTGATTTAAAATGTATTAAATATTAAGGTACATTGTAGTCGATCTATAGCAAAAATTTTGAGGGTCTGTTATAGGCAAATCCGTGGCTCCCTTTAATTACAACCTAAAGTACAACCTAAATCCAGAGTAACTTCAAAGAAATCTCTGCAACACTTGCTTGAAATTGGAGGTGCCATCGGACCCGAATGATCACATTGAACATGTATATGGCGCTCTACATAAAGAAAACTGCAGCACCTATGCCTATATTCAAGTGGGCATATAGTAAATTAATTAAAGTACAGTATTTAATTAATTTTTTTTTTATTCAAAAGAGATAGAACCTTTAATAGGATGGAACATATACAAAGACACCAATATATGGTACAAACTTGCATTGAACTGTCTTCATAAAACTTAAACGAGGATAAAATTCATTTAAAAAATATATATTTCATTAAAACAATTTAAATTATTAAATGTAACTGTTATCTTTTAAATAAACTCTCTTACGTCAAATCGGCTAAAGGGGGAACATAAGTGTTAGTACAAACAAAAGGTACCGGTACATGATTAGAATAAAATAATTTAAGCTAACAAAAACAGCATATCCAAAACAAGTCTACGTTATTTTAGGCCTATATTGAAAAAAAATGTAAACTTTTCACAAATTCGGCCAAATATAGTTTGGCCGTGACTTTTCAAACGAACGGCCAGTCAAATTTTTATACGGCCTGTTCCATTAATGATGGGGGAATCATTTTTCGCTGCAGCCCAATTGCCGTGAACAACGCTTCCCAGTGCGTCTGCTATTTTAATGGTCAGGGTACCGCGATCACGAGCCCGATGCTTGGCATTATAGGTTAGGCTTATGTGGGCTGGGATTTGCACTTCAAGGTCTTGTACTAGGCCTCTATACTATAGTAGGAGGCCTGGTCCTAGTCTGGCCTATAATATAGTAAAATTCTGTATAAGTAGTCATATGATTACAGGTTTACATTGTACCAAGATCTATATTAACGATCGCATTTATTTTTCATTGAAAATAAAAAGAAAACTTTAAATAATTTAACTTAAGGATTTTAAAATATTCCAAACCTGTACGCATAAAAAAAAAATTTAAAAAAATTAAAAAAAAATAAATAAATAAAGTTAACTTAAAACACAAACAACGCGATCGGATATAAAGTTTGAGAGATTAATTGGTATACTGTACTGTATTTCTGAAGCGCCATTCGTTTTGGGGTTGCTACAATCAGGAGTTACAATCGATCCAACAAAGGAAAAGCACTATCTATTTCCTTACATTCCAAAAAGGAGGATTTTGGATGCTATTTAAAATTTGCTGGAGATTAAAAAATTAACTGTTAACTGCGTTGTTATAGAACATAGAATGGTACATAACTTTCGGACTGGTATAGGCCTACAGAGGCCTATGTAATCTAAGTGTAAGTAAATACGGAGAATAGGCCAATTTTAGTGTGAACTAGACATGTTTTAATAACGCCACCCCCCCACC